CTTGGCCTCTGCGACGCAGATCCGCAGATCAGCGTGGGCAGGTGTAACTGATGGTTACAGACCCAGCCTGAGTGTACCCCATGCTGGTGGCTCTCTGTGGATTCGGCAGAACTTGGAGGGCATGTCAGTAAAGACAACTTCTTGAACTGGGTCCCAGTTTTTACTTGTAATTCTGGATGATGCATGGCCAAAAAGCTTCAAGGAACTATGAAATACCAAGTAACATTTGGAGAGTGGAACATTAAATATGTTAAAAGAGTAACACCTTCACTTTCCAACACCACCTGGTGCCTGTGACTGGGCAGGGTAACCCACCCATCATCCCTCACAGCACTTTGTTTCCATGATTTCACTAAATCAATAACATCTAACGGTAACGATGGCCACTAAACTGACAGCCTAATTCTGAGCTCATATAACACAGTGAGATTTTAATCTTCAGAGCTGCACTGCATTCAGAATACTTTAATTTGATAATGTTAACAGCTGCCTACCTACTCCACTTCACTTTTAACACTTTGCTTTTGCCCATAATTTTTTCACTGCCTGTCAAATCTGCCAGCATGGAACCAGCGGGCAAACCAGGTCCCACGATCTTCAGAAATAAAAGTCCAGCACAAACCAGTATGAAATTACAAAACAAACAGGCCTAAAATTTAGACTCTGGGAAAAGAGACATCAGGTTTTTTCAGCCAAGATATACCACAGGTTCTTCCAGTCCCACTGTTTTCAAATCCCCTTACGCAGCACAGGCAGGATTGAAGATACGCCTTCATTACTGGACAGGAAGGTACTGAAATAGAGTAACTTAAATAAAGGAATGTTGATCTAACTGGGCAATGTTGCAGATAGTGAGCTGATATTGGACAAAATCCTAAAGTTGTATTTCCTCTTCAATGTTCATCCGTAATTCCTGTTAACATAAACATGTTACTAAATCTCCTACAGTAAGCAGCTGTGGTAAATGACTTCTGTAGGCTTAAAAGCCAACAGTAATAAAGTACTATTTTGTCTTCCATTAAAAAAAAAAACCCAACAAAACACAACAGAGGCTTATTGAGATGGGCATACACGTGTTTGGTTCCAGTGGAGCGTTATTCATGAGCACCCAAAGTTATTTTCTGTCTGAAATCTGTGTCACTGCAAATCAGCTACATAGCTATTGCATCCCTGCCATGAGTCTTACAACCTCCAAGTTACAAAAATTTTCTATGGGTCTGGAGAAACGTTCTGGGGCCACCTTTATGGCATTTCTCCTTGATGACTTAAGTTTACCATTAAGTTAGGAACATGGGATCAGGAAAATTACCTGAGCCCAGTCCTCTACAAGCCCAGAAAAAAACCACAGTAGGTATTTCAACAAGCTACAGGTTATCTGTTCTATATATCATCACTCGTGGGAGGGGGATGACAGTGAGGATGACACAAAAAAACGTATAAAATCTTAAAAACCCTCAAAAAAAAAATTTTTAAAAAAAGAGTGGAAAAGCCGTAACTATAGCATGTCACAGGAAGTGAGTAAGAGAGGTAAGGCATTGCCAGTGTCCTAAGTCTGTACAATAGCTTGCAGCATATAAAATACTTATGGTCTGAAGAAATAGGGAAACTGATACAGATAAAATTAGTCTTAAATCCAAGCAGCTACTGCCAACTTTCTAAGTGTGAGATGTGCTACTAGGGATTACAGAAGGTGTCAGTGAAGTTACACACAGACACACCAGTAAAACACTTCAAAATAACTTATTATGAGGAAAAATGGCTTGTGGCACAGACAGATACGGGCTGGAATTTGGGTTAAAAGATCATAAATTTGAGATAATGGTGTATCCAATTATGTAAACTTGCCTTTTGTCTATCTTTAATAAATTTATTTACAGTCACCATAGGGACCTCAGATGAAAGAGATCAGAGAAAAGTCGGGTGAAATCTCCAAGGAAAACTCAGGTACACTTTGGGGACTGATACAAAGTCAATACAACACTGACTTTGGCAATGGAGAAAAATCCCGAGGAGATGGAGCCACCCTAGCCTTTAGAGGCAAGCAAGCAAGCAACACACAGTGAATCCACCAACTCTAAAATCTGTCACAGAGGTAAGAAGAGATGCAGCCACGCCTGTAAGGTGTCTACCTACCAGAGGCGTTGAATGGCACGGGCTGGCAGCAGCAACCCAGAGCAGAGGCGCCAGCCCTGCGGCTGTTTCCCCATAAACCAGCCAAGTCCTTGCAGGACCCCAAGACTTGAGCCTCCCACAGTAAGCCTGTGCATCCACTGAGCGCTGGAGCCAAGGCCACAGCAGCATTAGCTCTAAGTTTTCCTTCATGCTATGCTCACCCAGCGATCCCATCCTTCTCCCTTGTTATTCAGCTGACTGCACTATGGAGGCAGAATTGGACGCGGACGTAATTCAGTAAGTTTGTGATATGACTAGAGTCATTTGGCACGCTCTGAATAATCAGTGTTTCAGTAACTTAGCGAGCTTGATTACCTTGGAGGTTCTGACAGGAAAAATAATGTTTTCCTAAAGGCTGAAGCAAATGCTACAAAAACCAGCAGCAACCCAGGACCAAAGTCAAGATGCCATTTCTATATTGCTATTGATTAAGCTCACAGGAGGACTTCTGCTCCACTGAAACGTAATATCTACCCGCGGTACGTCTTTTATGCACTTTGGCCTTTACATCCCATGAGTCCTTTAATCTCACTCTAATGAGCCAACTGGTCCAGGCTGCTTCTCAGCCATCCAGAGAAAACTGTAGTCCTCAGAAGAAATTATTTCCCTCTCCTCCTCCATCAACTGATTTCCAAAGCTGAGCCAAAATAATCACACCACGAGCATACTTACATGGTGCACAGCCACCTGAAATACGTGGGGTTCGCTTCATTTCCAAGCTATATTTGTCATTCACAGTGCTTAACTGCAGGCACATAGCAAAATGTTGCAGCAATAAAAAAGGATTTTCAATAACATTGTTGAAAAATAAGTTGAAACAGAAATTTAAGAAGAGTTTGGTAAATCTTGAAACAGGAAAATGCTGAATGTGTCACTTCAGCATCATGCCTTTTCTTCAGTTCTTGCTCCTGCCTCAGTTTTGAAAGCAGATCCCTGTCTAACTTTTTCATGCTCTTTAAGTCACGGGCCCCACTGGACTACTGTAATCCATATGATTACTATTGCTTACATGGTATTCGTGAGGTTCAGCTCAGCTGAATTATGACCCCGTCACACATACCTCCCTGTCTGTTACCTTTATCACAGAAAGGCACTCTTGGAGAGAAAATAAACAATGTGACAAGCGTGAAGTTTATTATGTTTTCAAGGACAGGTTTTATGTACAGTTCGTCATCTGACATGGATGTCAGAACAAAATTATTTTATGAGATATTTGATTAAATATCTTTAAAAATCATCAGAAATAAATTAAGTAAATGTAAGTGATGCATGTAAGTAAAGCATCAGCTATATATTAATTACTGAGTAGATACAGAAGCCGCTTTTTTTTTTTTTTTTTCCAGAAAGCAGACTTTTGTATTGGAGAGGACTGGATCAAGAATTTCACGAGACTCCCATGTTTATCATTTTAGAACAACCCCATATTCTGCACGGCCCAGTGTAGGATGAGCAGTTGGTTCAGCATTTGTGATGTGGTAAGGAAGCTGATGGACATGCATAAATAAATTAACATCTCTTCTGCTAAGGAAACACAAATCTACCATAGGACAAGAAAATGAAAAATTAGCGTTGAAAACAATGGGCTTTTTCCCCAAGAACAGGATTTGTTATACTTACTGCTTTTCCTGATGGCAGTGAGAGGGCTTGCACTGCACGGAGTCGGTGCGCTGTGGCAAGCAAGCCTCAGCAGCGGCAGGAGGGCCGCAGGGAGGCAGGGACCTGTGCCACAGGACGAGGGAAGCCAGAGGGAAACACTGCTCTCCAGGGACACTTACACAATGGGAAGTGTGCACTAAAGAGCATGTGGTGTTAGCAGTATGGCTAATGCCCTACTGACTCAGGGGAAGCAGGCAAGCTCAAACCAGAATGTGCTACAGTCCTCCTGGCAGAAAGTTGCTGCACTCAGATGCTAAAAAGGGCTGGGGAGAGAAAGAGAGCAACAGGCTGCTGGTGGAGCTGGGGGTGGCAACAAGCCTTTTATCATTTCTGTCATAAGCACTGTGCAGCAGGAGGTGTTCAACAGCAGACTCTTAAGAGTAGATCCAAAACTCAAATGAGGACTGTTGCTGGCACAAGGAAGAACTTTCACCAAGTTTTTATACTGGTAATGGGCTGTTAGCTACCCTGTGGACTTGTTTTCTATTATACTTTTCACCTAAAGGAGTAATATCAGAAGCATACTGCTGCCTAAGACTTAACAGAGCCAACAACATAAAAAGAAAAAGATGACGATCCTCTATCATTTCCTAAAACATGAAGAAGTACCTGGATGTAGATACGCACGATTTAGTCAATTTGCATTGTGCTGTGCTTGTGCGATGCTCTAAAAACAAACAAACAAAAACGCATCCAAAAAGCAAAACAAAAGCACAGCACTAATGGTTTGAAACTTAACAACATAACTGACATGGCATTTGCTTCCTTTCAGCATAATTTTTTAAACCCATGGGTGAAATACACTTTTGCATGCTGTGGCTCCCTTAGCAAATGCCCTCTGAGCATTTGAAGCTTGAGAAGCAAATAGCAGGTATCAAGCCCATGCCTTTCAGGCATGAAACTTATTAGTTGACTAGCCTTACTAGCCTTTAATTTACAGTTTTGTCTAGTGGGTGCATGTCAGCTCCACTACAAAGAGATTTAATTAGTCTGTACTTTGACACTGCAATCACCGGCTAGACAGACCAACAAAGAAGGACATGTATGGAACTGCAGTTTTGCATTAACCCAGAAGCAAGAACAACTGCCGTGTCCAAGCCAACTTGTGCTAACCACTGCAACAGTTAAATAGGCAAATAACACACAGCAAAGTGCTAAACCTTTGTCCATACCTGAGATACAGAAGGTCGAGGGGGCAGCGCAGGCGGTGGTGGGGGCAGCCAGCCAGACCTCACAGCTGAACAGTGAGAAAAGAAGATGATTAAAAAAAAACCCAACCAAACAAAACCACATCAATTTAATTCCAAATAAAACCAGAGTTACTTTCCATGATAATTCCTACTGAAAAGGCATTATTCAACATTTTAATAACAGAAACCAAACTCAATCTTTATTGAGCAAAACCTTGTTTGAAATACCTTCACAAGTAGTCAATGAGTAGTGATTTAATTGCTGTAAAACTCCACAATGTTATGATAAAAAGCAGAGAAGGAAGGCAGTCAGCCACAAAAGCTGTAGCTAAAGCAATCCAATTCTAGTTAAAGAACCCCAGAAACAGGATCTACTTGTCCTTGCGACTTCACTCTACATTATTGCCTTTTAAAAAGTGATGCTTTAGCGTCCAATGTAGACATTAGCTTTCACTCCAGATAAAACACACTGTGTGATGGAGTGCAGCCTTAAAAAGAAAACATCTGCCATGGAATCAATAGGACAAAAGCCTAAGTGAACCAAAAAGAAATCCATTTATTTGGCTTTATGTTTTGTATTTGCATGTTATTACTCGTTGGGAGTACTTTGGAGGGAGGAGGAGAAGAAAGGGGGGGAAGGCAAATCCTAATAGTTAGTTCAGGCCCCTTTACCATAATGCAACGTCAGCTTTTGGTCTGAGCCAGCACAAAGGGAGGGTAACAGTCATGGAAGTCCAGCCACTGTATTTCTCAGTTTCCTTAAAATACCTAAAACCCATCATGGGACAAAACTACATGACAGATGATGGCTTCCAAAGGCAGCTGCAGAGAGGAGGCCTAGGATCGCACAGAGACATCAACCAGAGCCAGTGGGAGTCCTTAGGTGGGTTACCCTCCCCAAGCTCATGTCACATTGCGTGCTCAGCACCTGCACTGGAAAAGATACCAGACAGTCCATCTTGCACTGGTGGTTATTTGTATAGCAAAAAACCTCAACAATATTAAACTTACAAATGCCTTTTACCACAATAATGCTAAGCAAGCAATTACATTTATACACTTTTTATTTCCATCCATATTTTTAAAAGCCACAAAGACCATTATGAACCTTGCTATAGCTTAGCCATTTACATATTTTATACACCAAGTCTAAAAATGTCTACATGGTTTAAAATACGAAGACAAAAGATATTAACCATTAAGGACAACTGTGACATTAGAGTAAAAATGTGTGGGTGAAAACATTGAGAACAGTCATACTGACTACATACAGCTCCAAAGAAGCTTATAATACATAGGGGTTTTTTACCTCTTCTGTATCATCATCTCTTGAATCAAAATGAAGCCTAGTATCACTGCACACAATGCCAGAGAGAGGTAGAACAATTAAAATCCAACTGAAGTTAAGCAAGGGAGCCACTAACACACCTACAGGTGTAAAAGATTTGAAAAAACATGGTCATTAGGATCCTTTCTCTTGCATTTAATTAGTCCTGTTTATAAGACCACTGCAATACCAGCACAACGTCATCATTACATACCGCATCTCTTCTGCGCAACCGATCTTTAGAAATGAATAGTGGAGTAAGAAACCTTCCTTTCCTTTAGTCTGAACTTCAGGTTATGACTTCATTTATCTGAGCACTGGCAGCGGCTTTGGCAATTACAGCTCATAACAATATTTGAAAACACCATCTAACTCAAACACCAGCGCTCTGTAGGTCCATCAGCTGCACGCTCTAATAGCCGACAAGTACTATGCTCAACAGAATCATAGAATAGTTTGGGTTGGAAGGGACCTTTAAACATGATATGCTTCTCTTCAGGAAACCTTGTGAGAGCTGTGCTGCAATGCTCCATGGAAAACACCCGCATGCACCTCATCCTCCCGCCAGTGCTCATCACTGCGAGGGTACCATCTCTGCTCTCCAAACAGCTCTAATGTCACGGGGGAGCACAAACCACGCACACTTCCTAATGAGCCCCCAGCAGCCCAAACACAAAGCTATGGTGTTCACTGCTGCCACAAGCACGGGGGTCCCTGGAAGGGGCACGTCGGTCTGGGGTGGCCATCGGTGCTGTAGGCAGGCACCAGCCCCAGTGGCTCCCTCCGCCCTTCCCCATATACACAGCTCCCTCCAAGACCCAACGCTTTTGTATTTGCTGGTTCATGCTCCGGCAGGCCCTCAACAGCTTTACTGCAAGAGCTGCACCCACTGAGGACTCGCCTCAACTTCAGGTCTAGAGGATACAGCACTTACTGTCCTCACTCCCTGATTCTTCACAAACCAGTGATACACCTAGGAAAGTAGCAGTGCAGTCTTTATGCAGAAAGGCACTGGGCTTGCTGGAAAAGCATCTCCTAAAGCGGATACACACACTGTGAAACTCCACAAGTCTTCTGGGATTTGGCCCACAAAATTCCACAGGGAAAAATAATTTTTCCATAAGATGGACATATTAAAAAAAAAAAAAAAAGAAAACAAAACAAAAAACCCACACACTAAAAAACCTCACCCCCCAAAAAATGCTTCTTCAGCTTTCAAAAAGAACATATATGAATTTAGCATTAAAGAAGTTAGATGCTTACACCATGTGCATTTGACCCAGTTTCCTCTTTTTAATCCTGCAAATTCTAAGTTAAGCTACTCATGAAATATTTATAAAATTCCTGCGTTTGCAGAACATCTTCAGCCTGTTGTTAAAAGGAAACCATGCTTATGTGAGCACAACCGCTAGACAAGAGTTAGTTGACTTTTGAGGACTCGTAACAACTTCTAAAAAAACCTCACTTTTTTTTCCCCACAGGACAATGAAGAAAAAATTGACAGATGCTGCATGTTTCAGCCTTCTCTAGTGTAACTACCCTAAAAGAGGATGGTATTAACAGATATTCGTAGGTTTTTACGTGTATCAGCAGGTGACTTGTGCCATTAGGCTATTCCAGAATACCTTCCTTCCTGGGAGACTTCCCCGCACAGATCAGCTCTTGCTGTTGGAGACTGCATCACTATGTTAGCTCTGAGACTAGAGGGGGAGGCCTGTTTCCAAAATGAAAGCAAGTACCCTGGGACCGAGCAGCAACCAGACAAATGTCGTATTTCCAGGTGCACACCTCAGAGCTTGGATAAGCTGCACGCCTTTGCTCTTTGAAAACAAGTCTTCACACCCTGCACAAAAGCAGAGGGAGCCAAGGGAAGGGGATGGGCCTCACACAGTTTGCCTTGTTACAGAGCAGCTTGCTCTCATTCAAACCAGGGTGAGCCACGTAAAGCAAATCTCATGGACAGCACTGTGGAAAGGCCATACAGGTATGAGTAAAATAAGACTTAAGTACATCCAGTATCCATATCACATGCATTCCTGTAAATGATAGCATTTTCATGCACTAGCTACTCCCGCAAAGGTAGTGATAAGGCTTTCAGTTGAAACATCATGGCTCTTTACTTAGCATGTTTACGCTTTATGGCATATTATCTGCATGGAAAGCTTCCAGGACCATTTTACTACCCTATTTTGGCAATTACAAAGGTCTGATAGCACCAACAGGACACCACACTAGATTAAAAACCAGGGTTTCCAATCTGAAGCTAGATTAATATTTTAAAACAAACAGCAGGCTATAAGTGCACACTCTGAGAACAGGCCATGCCATCCTATCTGGCCACACCGCTCTGCTTTCAGCCTCCCTAGCAAACTCCACAAACCCTCAGCACTTTCATTACCCCTGGCAGTGAAAAATATCAATCATGGTGACCATCCAAATAGCTCCTTTTACTTGACTTATTTGATCTATGAAGAGGAGACCAAGGGAAAACATAAAATTATCATAGTCCAGTCAAACCTATGGGAAGAACGTCTTTAGCTCACCAGGCACAGCAGCAGAGGAGGTTGTCAAAATCAGGGTGGAACAAATTTGGCACCATGGGATCCTTTAGACCAATCTGTAAGAGCAACACGCTGCACCTCTCTCATCCAATGACAGTCACTTGTCCTCTTGTTTCTTAGTATTGAAGAAAACTACCATAATACACTGATTTTCTGGATGCATGTTGGTTTTAACAACTAATTAATATTGAAAAAGCAGCATATAAAACTACACTTCCTGAAACATTTCCATGCCAGGTATTTATTTCATCTCCATTCTTTGCAGCCGTCTTCCTTCTTGATTTTGTACGCCTATCACCTTACTCTGGGTATCACCTCAGAGAAGTTAAACCTATCGGTGGGAAAAAAAAAAAAAAAAAAAAAGGAGTACTCCTTTTTCTCATCTGAATTGAATACGTACATAAGCAGTGTCCTGAAAAAAGGGTGGTTTTCCTGAGTCAAGGGCCATTTTGTGCCTTTCTAGTCAAATCGAAACTAGATACTGCCTACCAAAGGAGGCTGATCTCATCTCACATCAAAACCCTACACATCTTTCATCCCATGATCAAGAGGGCACGCAGAGTTTGGTCACTCCTCTTATTTTGGTCACCATTCCCAAAGAGCGAAAGAGGCCTGTGCTTCTCAGCTCACACAAAGGGTGCAGCCCTAACCAAACTCAGCCTAAATCCAGGCCGACCCAGATCCAGATGGCCTAAACCAAGGTTCTACCTTCTGTTCTGCTTCCCCACCACCATCACCACCACTTCTGCAATTGGGTGGGGACCATCCAGGGACTTAAACTGGGAGAAAACTCTGATAGGGTTCCTCAATAGAGTCTGGCTGATGTGTGGTATTTTTCAAGTGGATGCTATCGCACTGTTGGATCAAAGGAGAGGCTGGTTGCATGGCAGATTTACATCAGTTTACACTGCTTCAGAGCGCTTAGCTCCCAGATCAGGTTTAACAAAAGACCAACCAATTAATTTTATCAGGAAGCAAAGGTTCTACAATACTGAAACAGTTCAAAAAAGACAAGCCAACAAAATGAATTACTTTTCAGTTCCCCAAACTACCTAAGGTTCAGTTCCTTGGGGAGTTTGGGAAGCCGGCGTTTTGACCCTTCCACTCCGACGCTATTTTGGAGAGTTTTTTGAGATATTTTTCCTGCTTCTGTTGCCAA